TGAAAGAAAAAACACTGCCAACCAAGAACCCTATACACAGAAAAACTTCTCTTCAGAAATGAAGAAGAAATAGTTTTTCCCAGATAAACAGAAACTTAGGGAATTCACCATGAGACCAGCTCTACAAGGATTGCTTAAGGGAGTACCACTCTAGAAACAAAAGAACAATAACCACCAGAATGAAAACACATATAAGTGTACAAAACACACTAAAAGAATAGAAACATGAAAAAGAGAAGAGAATCAAACTTACAAAGACAAATTACAAGAGAAGTAGAAAGGAACAAGGAATATATATAACAAAACAAATGAAGAAAACAACAAAATGACAGGAGCAAGTTTGTACCTGTTAATAACTGTGTTAATCACAGTGGCTGTGACCAAATACCTGAGAAAATCAACCTTGACAAGGAAATATTTATTTTGGCTCATTGTTTCAGGGGTTCAGCTCCTGATCTCTTGGTTCTGTTGATTCTGGGACTGTAGTGAGGCAGAACATCAAGGCAGGGATGGAATGACAAAGTTAAAGCTGCTCACTTCATGGCAGATTACCTCAGAATGGAAGAGAAGGGGGAGTAGAAGAGAGAAAGAACACATGCAAAGCATGTGTGAGGGAAAAAAATATACTTTTAAAAAGGCATACACCCAGTGACCGACTTCCTATAACTAGGCCCAACTTCCTATAGTTTCCACTACCTCCCAATAGCACCATTATGTTGGTACCAAGCTTTTAATCCATGAACTTTGGGAAGACATTTAAGATTCAAACCACAGAGCTGGGGTTGTAGGTCACTGATAGAGCATTTACCTAGCAAATGTGAGGCATTGTGTTTGATCCTCAGCACCACATAAATATAAATAAGTAAAATAATAAAAAGATCCAAACCATAAAAATAACCTTGAATATAAATGAATTAATCAATCAAAAGACAGACTTGGCTGAATGGATTAAAAACAAACAAGATCCAACTATATGATGCCTATAAGAAACTCACTTCATTGGTATAGATACACACAGTGAAATGAAAAAGATATACTATGCAAACAAAAACCAAAACTGAGGAGGGGTAGTTATACTCATCAGATGAAGCTGATTTTCAACCAAAAACTATTAAAAAATTGAAATTAAAGGGCTATGAATAGGAAAAAAAGAACTCAAACTATCATTATTTGCCAATGACATGATTCCATATTTAGGGGATCCAAAAAAAATTCCACCAGAAAACTTCTAGAATTAATAAATGAATTCAGCAAAGTAGCAGGATATAAAATCAATTCCCATAAATCAAATGCATTTTTATACATCAATGAGGAAAGCTCCGAAAGAGAAATTATGAAAACTACCCCAATTCAAAATAATCTCAACAAACAAACAAACAAACAAAATTGGGAATCAATTTAACAAAAGTGTGAAAGACCTATACAATGAAAACTATAAAACACTAAAGAGAGAAACTGAATAAGACCTCAGAAGATGGAAAGACCTCCCATGTTCTTGGATAGGCCATTATTGTCGAAATGGCCATAGTACCAAAAGTATTATACAGATTTAATGCAATTCCAATTAAGATCCCAACAACATTCCTCTTAGAAACAGAAAAAGCAATCATGAAATTCATTTGGAAAAGAGACCCAGAATAGCCAAAATAATCCTTAGCAAGAAGAGTGGAGCAGGTGGCATCACTATACCAGACCTTAAACTACACTACAGAGCTAGAGCTATAGTAACAAAAACAGCATGGTATTGGCACCAAAATAGACATGTAGATCAATGGTACAGAATAGAAGACACAGAGACAACACCAGATAAATACAGTTATGTTGTACTAGACAAAGGCACTGAAAATATACCTTGGAGAAAAGATAGCCTCTTCAACAAATGGTGCTGGGAAAACTGGAAGTCCATATTCAGCAAAATTAAATTAAGGCCCTATCTCTCATCATGCACAAAACTGAACTCAAAGTGGATCAAGGGCCTAGAAATTAGACCAGAAACACTGTGCCTAACAGAAGAAAAAGTAGTCTCAAATCTTCATCATGTCAGATTAGTTCCCGAGTTTCTTAACCAGACTCCTAAAGTGCAAGAGATAAAATCAAGAATCAATAAATGGGATAAATTCAAACTAAAAAGCTTCTTCTCAGCAAAGGAAATGATCAATAATGTAAAGAGAGAGCCCTCAGGGTGGGAGAACTTCTTTACTACACGAACATCAGACAAAACACTAATTTCCAGGATATATAAAGAACTCAAAAAACTTAACACCAAAACAGCAAATAACCCAGGCTCGGGCTGTAGCTCAATGATAAAGTGCTTGCCTTGCATGTGTGAGGCAATGGGTTTGATCCTCAATACTACATAAAAATAAACAAATAAAGTAAAGGTATTCTGTCCATCTAACACTACATTAAAAAAAAGCAAATAACCCAATCAATAAATGGGCTAAGGAACTGAACAGACACTTCTCAGAAGAAGATATACAATTGATGAACCAATATATGAAAAAAATGTTCAACACCTCTAACAATTAGAGAAATAAAATCCAAATTACTCAAGATTTCATCTCACTCCAGTCAGAATGGCAATTATCACGAATACAAGCAAGAATAAGTGCTGGCGAGGATGTAGGGCAAAAGGTACATTCATACATTGCTGGTGGCCTACTGCAAATTGGTGCAACCACTCTGGAAAGCAGTATGGAGATTCCTTAGCAAACTTAGAATGCAATCACCATTCAACTCAGCTATTCCACTCCTCAGTCTATACCCAAACGACTTAAAATCAGTATACTATAGTAATACACCCACATCAATGTTTATAGCAGCTCAATTCACAATAATTAATCTGTGGAACCAATCTAGATGTCCTTCAATAGATGAATGGACAAAGAAACTGTAGTATATATACACAATGCCATATTACTCAGCATTAAAAGAAAATAAAAGGGCTGGGGTTGTGGATCAGTGGTAGAGTGCTTGCCTAGAATGAATGAGGCACTGGGTTAAATCCCCAGCACCACATAAAAAACTAAATAAACCAAATAAAGGTAATGAGTCCATATACAACTAAAAATATTTTTTAAAAAGAGAAGAAAATATGGCATTGCAGGTAAATGGATACAGTTGGAGAATATCATGCTAAGCAAAATAAGCCAATCCCCCAAAACCAAAGGCCAAATGTTCTCTCTGATAAGTAGATGCTGATCCATAATGGGGGGAGGAGGCATGAGAATAATGGAGGAACTTTGGATTGGGCAAAGAGGAGCCTGGGAGGGGTGGGAGCATGGGGTAGGTAAGATGATGGAATGAGAATGATGTCATTACCCTAGGTACATGTATGTCTGCACAAATGATGCGATTGCATAGTGTACAATCAGAGAAATAAAAAGTTATGCTCCATTTGTGTACAATGAAGTGAAATGCATTCTGTTGTCATACAATTTTTTTAAAATTTAAAAGAGTTTAAAAAAGTATAAAAATTAATCCATTATATATTCATAAAAGAATTCATCAAGAAATTATAGCAATTGTAAATATATATGCACCCAACACTAGACTTCCCAAATATATAAATATAAAACAAATATTATATATAAAGGGAGTGATAGGCTCCAATATAATAATAGTTAGGTACTTCTACACCCTACAGTCCTCAATAGACAGATCAACTTTACAGAAAATCAATTAAAAAACCATAGTTAAATCATACTACAGAGCAAATGTGCTTAGCAGACATTTACAGAATATTTTTCCAACAGCACCAGAATATTATATTTTTCTTATCATTACATGGAACATTTTCCAGGATAAATCATGGCAGGTGACAAATAAAGTCTCAATAAATGAAAAAAAACTAAATTGTCTCTGTATCTCCTTAGACTATAACAGAATAAAAATATAAATCAACAAGAATAATGGAAAGTTAAAAAAAACTTGGAAATTGAACAATATGTTGCTAAATTATTAAAGTATAATTGATGAGATTAAATGGGAAATCAATATGTCTTGAAAAATGAAAATCAAAGCATATCAAAATCTGAGATATAGCAAAAGCAAGTAGAAATATATAAATAAATATATATAAATAAATATGTGAATATAAATAAATCCATGCATCAAAAAAAATTCAAATAATTATTAGTGTACCTCAAGGACTTAGAAAAGAAAAATCAAACTCCAAATTAAGAAGTAAAGAAATAATGAACAGAAATAAATAAAACCAAAACTAAAAAGACACATACAAAATTGAACGAATCAGAGTTGGTATTTCAAAAAGACAAAAATTACACACCTTTAAGTACACTATCCAGCAAAGAGAGAAACAAAACAATAAAAAAATAAACAAATGAAAAAAGAGCCATTACAACTGATACCACAGAAATACAAATACATTTCCAAATGTTTTGAGAAAAAGAATACAATATTCTTGATATGTACAAATATTGATGTTTGAAGAGATGGAAGTGCTTATTCCCCTGATTTGATCATTACACATTGTACACAGGTACTGAATTACCATAATGTACCCAATAAAGATGTATCAATATTATGTCTTACGTTTTTGAAAAAATTTTAAAAAGAGAAAGAGAAAAGGGTACCTCCAAGATAGAGTGGCAGGTGCTAATAGGTACTTAAGAAGCCTAAATTAGTTTTTTCTTTTTTTAAACCAGCAGTGTCTGTAATCATCCCTTTGCCTCTTACAGGCCCATTAGCTCACTCTCAGGGAACTTTCTGGCTAAAATACTCAGGGAATACTAAGGCCAGAGGCAGTGAAGACTCACTAGCAAACTCTATATGTTCAATAAGCAAAGGTCCCCCAGAAACACCCTTTTGCAACAGTGACTAGAATGTTCCAAGTGGCATCAGTTTTGCGACTCCCTTTCCCCCTACAACTTGGTAATCAAAATATCTCCCATCTCCTAATTAAGATAAGCTGATATGGTAGGCAGCAATCAGAAGGAAATGAAATACAGTGAAATATCAACAAATAAAATGTGGAATACCTTGTTTTTAGCTAATTCCTTTTCCCAATTGCTTTTCTCTTGTGCTATTTCTTTTTCAGTTTTATTAACCTGCCCAAGGAGGGAAAAGAAATGGGTCAATTTTACAGCAGTTGACAGGCTCTACTATATCAGACACATCCTGCATATTAGTTAATACCTACACTGCAGAGATATCACATCCTCTCAGAAAAGGGGCCAATCAGGGAGTCTCTGAGGCAGAGCAGACTTCACAAAGAGCCCTGCAAGTAGAAAGACACGCCTGCATGTCAGACTCTGCTGATTCCTTCCTAACTAGGAAAAAGGGGCTCTTTCCCTTAACCTCCACTGTCCCACTCCTTCAGGGAAAATAAATTTTTAAAATCTGACCCCTTAACTAACAGGAGGATGTGTGAATTATTAGTTGATATTTACTGATGCTAGATAAGGTATACTGCACTACTAGGCCCAGATGACTTCACATGTCAAAATGCACAGATTAGCCACCTAAAGATTTCTTTAATGAGCAACTCAGAAAACCTGCTCTGAATTTTCTTTCTTTTTATGTCTTTTGCACTTAGAGTAGAATTTTAAAACAGTATAATCACACTGCAAGCAGGAGGTAATATAAATCTGCTTTTCCCTACCTCTTTCTGAAATCTTTCATTCTCCTCTAGCAGACACTTCTTCTCTTGTATTGATGCTTCCAGTTCACCTCGCAATCTTGTAATAGTTGATTCTAGAAGCTCTTTTTGTGCAGCTGTCCTTTTCTCAGCATCCTGTGCTTTCTGGACACACTGGTTATGCTCAAGGATTAAATGGTCCCTGCACAAAGAGAACAAGGAGACATGAAAGTTTGCTTTAATAGAATAATTAAGTGTTCTTATAGAACGTAACTCTCGCCTAAGAGCAGTTACCACAATGTTCTAACAAAACTTATTGTTGAAGGCAGTATCTTTATTTTATCTTTGTGGCTGGCCCAGAAATCACAGAATTAAACATTTTCATTAAAGAAATTCAAGTGCAAGAATGAAAGATACATAGGAAGTTGCCAGTAATTTACTTACAGATGTGTTTGGAGTTGAGATTTTTCATTCTGAACTGTGTATAGTTCATTTGTGATGCTGGCATGGGCTGCATCCAGCAGTAAGTTCTGTTCTTGAAATGTCTGCGTCATCATTTTTTGCTCTACCTGAGTGTTACGAGTAATTTTATAAGTTGAGATGCCATTTAATAGGGTATATTTTCAGAGTAACTGATTAAAGATACCAAACTAACTTATAATATACAAGTTTTATCTCCATAAATAAAATCTCTTTTAATAGAATTTAATGTCTCAGCTTTCTCATTGTTCCACCCTGAGTTGACTACAGTTCTATAGTTTTATACCTCTACTAGCCAATAATCAAGAGGCACTGTTTACCCAGCCTGCTGCAAATTCTGTAAAACTCCTAACACCAATACCGATTTAAAAGTTATGATATTTGAAAAGAAACCATGAAAAAGTACTAAGTGTTAGGCCAAATCATTCCTCCCATGAAACCTGGAAACTAATAAAAAATAATAATACTTCAATAAACTTTTTAAATCATTTAAATATTTTATTTATTTAGTTGGCAATGTACATTTTCTGACCTCTTAGGTTGGCTTTCTGCTGCTTCTAGCAGAAGTTCACTAGTGTTAAATGAGTACCTGCAGAATGGCTTGGTGGTCAGCAATAATCCTGGCATTTTCCACAGTAGCATTCTGAAGCATACTGCTTAGCTCTGAGCACTTTCTACTCAGTTGGTCATTTGAAACCTAAGACAACATATACAGCAAGTCACAGATCTCTTTGATAAAAAATTACTTCACTTATATATCATTACTTTTAATGACTGCATAGTATCTCACTATATGGGTGATTCTAATTTATTTAACCTATTTCCAATTAATATTTCACTGGTTTATACAGTATTTAAAAATATCTGGAGTCAAAATCCTAAAAAAATTCTAAATTAAAAGGAGAGATTTGTTGATTAGGTGGAGCAACTAAGGCAGCTGGCAATTTACTTATCTGTTTTTTCATAATTTTGATCACTGATCAATTAGTGCAAGACATCTGCAGAATGGAATTTACAATGTAGGTATACCCAGATAATCTTTTTAAATTGATTTCTATCACTACATGATGAGCATTCAGAAATATTTAGCTAGTAACATGAATATCTAAGTTCCTTTGCCACCAAAGATATTACTGAATTTACTATGATTAGGTTAATCTTTTAGAATGAAACAAAAACCTTGTGATACAGATCAGACATGTAGTTTGTTGAGAATTCTTATTGATACTGGGGATCAAACCCAGGGCCTCATACATGCTAGACAAATGTTCTATTGCTGAGCTACACATCTCCAGCCCTAATTAATAATTCTCATCTTTTCATATTTTGAAATTTATATTATGAAAAACATTCCTTTGAATTTTGAGCTATTTTTGCAAGGTAGATTTGGCAAGGACCTTGTGTTTTAATGAACAAGTTCTTCAAGGATAAGGGCATATCACTCTGAAGGAGAAATAGGAAAAAATAAATAAAATGTTAAGATAAATGAAAGATGATCTAGCAAGTATACTGTACTATGCCGTACAGTGGTTAGGAACACTTTAGGAGGCATGTTAAAAGTCATAACCAGATGTACAAACTATTCATCAAGGAATACCTAGGAGTGAGACACATGGAGAATACTTGCTCCTTGAAAATATAGTTCTTCCCCCTTTAAAGCCAGATTGCCTGAGCTCAAATTCCAACTGTCACTTATTAGCTACACTATTATTACTTTTTGTGTGTCAGCTTCCTTATGATGTAGCTAATAGTTTCTATTTCATAGTACTATTTTACCAATTACAATTTGTTGTAATATTTGGTGCTAACAATTGTGCCTAGAAGGTGGAATGGGTTCAGAAAAAATGTTAACTAGTAGATATTGTTATTATTTTATAAAGACGTATTTGTATTTTCTTTATTATAAAGAAAGCACAGTACCCTATGATCCTTACATTGTAGTAATCAAATTGTACCAACATAAAAGTTATTCTGAGTGATAAACTCTATTTCTTGGGCTCTGTGATAACTCTAGTTTTCCTGTATATATAACGATTATCTAAAATGTACATGTGTTTATTAATATAGATAAAGTATTAGCTAAATTTGGGAACAACCACCTCACTGAGAATGATTACCCTAACTCCAAAATCCAATAAGCATTAGTTCAGTTCTGACTGTGTTATTTGCTATAGAAGATGCAAAGTATAATATTTAGCCCTTGTCATTGAAATGCTTTTTTAAGTTCATTGTAGAGAGGTATTCAAATCTAACAACTAAATTAGAAAGCAAACTGTAAACTAGTGCATGATTTAGTGATAGATCTTATATATTATTATGTCACAGAAATTTGGAGATCAAAATGAAAACTACAGTTAATTTGATAATGCATCATAGATGAAATAGATCTTATGAAAGTAAATAGTTTGATGATATACATCGTATACATTTATATAATCAAGATTAACCTTGGTTCTTTTTTTTTAAGAGACAGAGAGAGAGAGAGAGAGAGAGAGAGAGAATTTTTTTAATATTTATTTTTTAGTTTTCGGCAGACACAACATCATTGTTTGTATGTGGTGCTGAGGATCGAACCTGGGCCACACGTATGCCAGGCGAGCACGTTACCGCTTGAGCCACATCCCCAGCCCAACCTTGGTTCTTTAATTGAACAAAATTAAATAACATTTAAAACAGTGAATATCTACCTGTGTTTTTGCTGATGCTTCATGAAGGGATAATATTTCGGACTTCAAATATGTGTTTTCTTCATGTTCCTTGTTGAAAGATATTTGCATGTTCTATTGGAATTAAAAAAAACTTCCCTTTTTCACATGTACAAGATATCATATATATCTCTATAAAAATACCTATCTGTATTCTGGCCAGTACTTGTTCGAGTTTTCCAATGAGATACATGTGTATTTGTCTTACACAAAGAGTTAAAAATCTTAGTATTTTCAACTCCCAAACTTCTCTTTATTTTTAAATTATTTATCAAAACTGTTTATACAAAATAAGATACTAGTATACACCTATTCGAATAATAAAAATCCAGAACAATGACAGCACCAAATGTTGGTAAGGATATAAAGCAACAGGCACTCTCATTCATTGTTGGTGGGAAAGCAAAATGACAAAGCCACTTTGGAAGACAGTTTGGTAATTTCTTACAAACTCAAATTATTATTACCACATATGATACAGCAATCATGCTCCTTGGTGTTTACCCAAAAAAGCTGAAAACTTATGTCCACAAAAAAACTTGCCCATAGTTATGTTTATATTGCTATATTTATAGCATCTTTATTCATAATTAAAAAACTTAAAATACTAAATGAAAGAAGCCAGTCTAAAAAGGCTACATGTACTATATGATTCCAACCATATGATATTCTGGAAAAGGCAAATCTATGAAGACAGTAAAAAGATCAGCTGTTGCAAGGGGAGGGGTAATGAATAGATAAAGTACAGAAGATTTTTAGGATGGTGAAAGTACTCTGTATGATTCTATAATAGTGAATATATGTCATCATACATTTGTCTAAATCCATAGAATGTACAAAAGTGAAATCTAATGTAAATTACAGACTTTGCTATGTCAATATAGTCATCAATTTGTAATAATTTACCAGTCCAAAGAGCATGTAAATAATAAGGGAGGCATGTATAGGGGGGCAGGAGGGTACCTGGGAAATCTCTATAGCTTCTGATCAATTTTGCTAGGAACCGAAAACAGCTCTAAAAACATGGTCTGTTTTTTTTTAAACTATTTATTAAGTTTATTCTCACAATGGGATTCCAATCAGAAAGAACTCCTTAAACTATAACCTAAATATTACTAATATCCTTATATCAAGAAAGTTCTACTCTATGATTGCAGATTTCTTATATTGCATATGCATTTTTTCCTATTAGCAATAAGCTCTTGCAATTTAAAAGGTGTACATTCAAGAATTATTTAAAAGACATTTTATCAAGAAGTACCTGGAAGTGGAGGCTGGAAGAGGGTAGCCACAAACTAGTTTTCTTGAGATAGTAGAGTGACAGTGATGTGAATTGTAGGTTGGGCTTTCCCTACCAGCTACTTGTAGAACGGGAAAGAACATAGTATAAACTTTCTCACTATAGAGAAAAACACTTTTCTACTTTTCCAGGAGAAGCATTTCAGGAAAGATAAACATCACACAACACAGGATGAGATAGCACCCGAAAAAAATTTCCAAATGGGATCCTCATCATCAAGAGATTCATTTCAAAGTGTAATAAAGCTATAAAAAAGTTTATATTTTTAAAGTTATGGTAAATATGAAAATTACCATTATAACTATTTTTAGTAGTACAGTTCAGTAGAAATGAATACATTGATACTGCTATGTATTTAAATTTCTTAAATTTCATTGAAATTTTTTAATAATTAGTTTATAAATTGGCAAAATCCACAAATATCTCATCATACTTGCCAATTCACCTTTTTTTAAAAAAATTGTAGTTGTAGATGGACAGAATGACTATGTTTAATTTGTTTTTTATTTTTATGTGGTGCTGAGAATCAAACCTAGTGCCTCACGTATGCTAAGCAAGTGCTCTGCCACTGAGCTATAGCCCCAGCCCTAGCCCCAATCCACCTTTTCAAACTATAATAACTTGCAAGAAATGATTACTTAGTTCCTAATACCTAGTGTTATCCAGAATATGCAACTTATTTATCTAAATTTTTTTCCTAAAGTTTTTAGGATAAACAATAAGGACTATAAAAAACAACATGAATGAGAAAATATGACTTAGTAAAGAGAGGAAAACTTACCTTATTGTCTTCAACCAACTTGGAAATGAGGTCATCTCTAGAAACTAAAAACAAAAATCCATATAATTATGACAATAATAAATTACTACATTGAAAACACAAGATATTTTTCCTCCTCAGAAACTAAGTTTTTTAATCAATATTTTGTGAAAAAAGAATTCAAAGATTCTATTCTGATTTTCATAGGCCAAAAACTATTATAAAATCATCAAGAAACTAGTCTATAGTCATTTACAGTGGTAAATGAGACAACATTTTATCTACTCAATGCATTAATGATGAGTCTGAGGGATGTTAAACCAAGAAGAGTGCTGAACAGAAGTTTTTTGTTGGAGAGATCACAGAAGTTTTTTGTTGGAGAGATTCAATAAAGGCAGAAAGATCAGTGTAAAACAGTGAGAGCTGCCTCTCTTAGGATAACAATGGGGCTGCAGAGGAAAAATGGACTTATGAAATAGTAAGCAGAGAGGACTGCCAGGACTTGGTGGTTATTAGTAGGGTAAATGCAATAGAGGAGTCAAGGAGAATCTATCGCATTCGAACTTGGGATGCAGGACACATCAACTGTGAAATACAGGGCAAAGAGAATGTTTAGAGGCTAGAATGGGTAAAAATGAATAAACTCTTAAGTTTTCCATATGCTCTGATGCATCTGAAGAGCATTCAAATATGCATGTTTAGTTGGCAGTAAGATACTGGTCTAACAAGGTATGATGGTACACAACTATAATACCAGATACTCAGGAAGTTAAGGCAGAAAGACTACAAGGCAAGCCTGGGTAACTTAGAAAGACTCTATCTCAAAATAAAAATTTTTAAAGGGCTGGGAATGTAGCTTAGCAGTAGAGTGCTTCTCTGGTATGAACAAGGACCTGGGTTCAATGTCTACCACCTCAAAAAATAAAATAAAAAGATACGAGTCTGGAGCTCAGGAGTATGATTTTATGTGGGGGAAAGACATTTGAAACCACTCAGGAGCATAGGCAATAAAAAGAAAATAAAAAGCAGAAAACTGGGGAACAGTTTGGCATTACACACTTTAGTCAAAAGATATAAACTTTCGCCTGTGTGGTGGTGTATCCCTGTAAACCCAGGGTCTTGAGAGGCTGAGGCAGGAGGATTACAAGTTTAAGGGCCACCTCAGCAACTTAATGAGGCCCTAAGCAATCTAGCAAAACCCTGTCTCAAAATAAAAAATAAAAAGGGGTTGGGATGTGCCTCAGTGGTATAGCGTCCCTGGGTTCAATCACCAGTTACCAAAAACAAACTTTTCTGAGAGTAATTAGACTTTGTAGACACTGCCAAAAAAAATTTTTTTTTTACTTCAATGCTAAAGTCAGAAAATTATGAAAACTGAAATTTTATATAGGATATACCTTATAAAAACCATACTTTTTGAATACATAAATTCATAACTCATTAAACTCTAATTAAAATGTGTAAAGAATAAAAAAGATAGACTCTATGACCTGTTTTGAAAGTTCTACTAATCAAAGAATGAAAGAGGAGTGTTTATCTTGGGAGAACAATTTAATCACTTTAAGTAATAGGTATATAAATTTTTGTTACTACATAAATTAAAAAATTACATTTTAAAATTGAAAATATTTAAAGGCATTTTTATTAATCCAGTTAATAGATTAATAAAAATGCCTTTAAATATTTTATTAATAGAATAACTATTTGTACCTTAAAGTAATAAAATTACTTATAGTAAAAAGTCTATAATTTAAAATTTAGCACATAGTTGATATTCATATTATACTCATATTTTCTTCATGTTAGTATGAATTACCGTTGTTTTAACTTTCCTTTTTTTAATGGTCTTCACATATTCTTTACAAAATTAAACAATAAAGCATTAACCAATGTGAAAGTAACATTTTTAAAAAACCTCAATAAGTGAGCCAACTAAAAGAAAGATCTGCAGTTTAGTCCCAGCTATTCTATTTGCTGTGTTATTGGGTTCAGTCTCTCTGATCTTTTTATTCTTCTGTGTAACAGGTATATTTTCTTATCTTTCTGAAAAGACTGCTGTAAGGCTCAACTGAGATAATATGGAAGCATCATAAAATGAAACATACATTTTTGTAGGCACACGATTATAAGAAGACAGAAAGTTTCCTTGGGCCATTGTCAGAGAACTTCATATAGTAATTCATTACCCAACAACTTTAAGGAAAGTTATTTTCCACTAAAAAGAGTAAATCAAATGGTGGGCATAGTGGCACATGCCCATAATCCCAGCTACTCAGAAGGGTGAAAACAAGAGGCTTGCAAGTTCAAGGCCAGCCTTGGCAACTTAATGAGACCCCATCTTAAAAAAAATAGAGAGGGATGTAGCTCAGTGGTAGAGCACTTGCCTAGCATGTACAATGCCCATGGGTTCAATTCCCAGTAAAACACACACACACACACACACACACACACACACACACACACACACAAAGTGGAACTAGAAAAATCAAAACATTGATCAGATTACTCTTTGCTTTATTTTTTATAATTTTCATTTTCTTTAGGCTATTCCCTTGCACAGTACAGCAAGAGAGCAGAGAAGGTGCAACAGAAGGAATATGGGACTTAAAGGGTTAAAAGATCCAGGTTTAGGCTTCGCTTTGCCATTTCTTTGTTCAAATAATTTTGAATAGCCGTGGCTAGCTTTGAGTATTAAATAATTTTTGTAAAAAACATGATACACATGACTCTTCATGATTTCTATAGTTGAAACTACTTAAAAATTGCTTTACAATGACATATAACAAAGTGGTAAGACAAAGAGCTGATGAGTTAGAAGCAGCATGATTGAGTACCTATACTCAAGATCAAATCTAGGCTCTTCCATTTACCAGCTGTGTCACTCATCTCTATAAAATGAAGGAAACAGTGTAAATACTATTTAAGTATCTGACAACTACCCATCTCTACAAATATAGGTTAACCAAAACATATTGATAACCTGAAGAATGGAGAGTTTAACATGAGAAATTGACAGAATCTGTAGTTAGCAAGAATAGACTTATTTCCTTATTAATATTTTATTATCCAGTATTCAATATAAATATCTGGAAAACAAATGTTCCCAAGTCCCAAACACTTAAATAAGAAGGGAAAATAATGTAAAAGAATAGTTTACAACAAATAGGGTCCTAATTTTATTACCAACATTGATTTTTGTTTCAGTGTTATAGGTAGAAAAGAAATCAGCAGTTACTTACATACAGAACTGTGGGAAATGCCAGTAACACTGGCTACTTCAAGAATTTAGGATCATAGGAGTTTTTGCATGAAATCTCAAAATACTAACAAAAGTGTGACTTCTAGCATCTATGTTCATACTTAGATCAGACTTGAGTTGTGAGATAGCCATCTCCAACCCTTCTTTTTTCTGTTGCTCCTGTGCCAGTAGTTCTTGGGTGGCCTGTATAGAACTGCGTAAGGCAACACAGTTTTGCTGCAAAATGTGCACCTGAAATTGTAAAAGAAAAACTCATTTTCTGAAGATTTCTAATAAATGACCTTATAGAAAACTTGTGGAAGACAGAATTTCCAACCTCAATGTCACTGAAGAGAAAAGAGGAGTATTTAATATGTTGTCACAGTTAAAATCTCAACAGAAGCTGGGCATGGTGGCTTATGTCTGTTATCCCAGTGATTGGGGAGGCTGAAACAGGAGTATCCAAAATTCAAGAATAGCCTTAGCAATTTATGAGACCCTTTCTCAAAATAAAACAAACAAATAAGAAGGATTGGGGATAAATCTCAGTGGTATAGCGCTGGTGTGTTTAATACCCAGTACGGTCCCCCATGCCCCCCAAAAAAACCACTCAACAGAATGCAGTGCCTTATACAGAGCTGTCCAATAGAACTTCTGTGCATTCTTCAACACAATAGTCACTAGCCACTAGAGGCTAATGAGCAGGTACAATGTGACCAGAGTGAGGAATTGAATTTAAATAGCTTAAGTGGCTAATGACTATCACACAGGCAGTAAAAGTTACAGCAAAAAAGAACCATTTCTAAATTCCTTAAGTAGAATCCTTTTAATAATTCTGCTGTTAATGGCAGTCATTGGTTAAATAAAAATTATATAATCTAATTATGGGTATTAAATATGAAAATACAATTGCCCTGGTTAGTTAGAATTTAAAGTATTCTAACTTACATATAGATATTTCAAATACTACAACAAAGGCAAAAATATTGTGTTAAAATTATAAATAAAATCAGCGGTGTAAATACATTCTTGATTGTTTTACTTATTAACATTCTTTGGATGTTAACATTGTTAGTTCAGGTTAGTCTTTATTTTCTATCCAGATCATATACATAGCCCAGGGCAATGCCTTTCAAAATCAATGCCTGTAGTAAAGACTGCTTGGTGTAGAAGAAAGATATTGTACCAGGAGTTAGGAGTTCACCTCTATAATACCTGAAACAAATTAATTTCTCTGGTCCTTCACATTTTCATTCATAAATGAAGAGTATTACAATATGTAATATTAGAGTCCTTTCTTATTTTGCACTAATTTTTTAAAAATCATACTAAGAATGCTAATAGGTCACTAAAGAAAACTAAACAATAAATCTAGAAGAAATTAGCAAAATAAAAAGTTTATTGATGAAGTTATCAGTTTTTATTTTATTTATTTCCCTAATATAAATAAGGAGAAGAAATCTACCTGTTTCCGTTCTTCTTCCACTGTTGATCCCATTTCCTGTATTTTGAGTAGCATGACTGATTCAGATTTCTCAAGAGATTCCCTGAAGTGCTTCTCCTGAGCCAGTTGTCTCCTTAGCTATAGAACAATACTGCAGTTAGCAAGACCAATTGAACATATGTCTAATGAACAGCAAAGTTACCAGACATGTTATCTCATCCCCAAATGTTCCCAGACATGTTATCTCATCCCCAAATGTTCTTCTTTCATTTATGACTACTCAGAAACATGCTGGTTTTTCCCTGACGGATGGCTTTCTAGGAAACAGTCAAACTGGGTTGCTCTCATCTTCATACTGTTAAGTCTGTTTTCCAAATTGTATGTTAAGACCCAATAGAGGAAGCTGGAAGCAGCACTTAGGAAAAGGAAAATAGTAGAGCAGAATGGAAAGAAATTAGAGCACACAGACATGTAGTAAGGATAAGTATTGCTTCATGGAATGTTGCATGTATGCAATTCATGTCCTGCAATGGATTGTAATAAAAAAAGTTTAAAAAACACAAATACCAGATTTCAGTAACATTATTTCTGAATTTTCTGAATTTTTGTCAACTCTTTTCTCATATTTTGATACTTTTATATATTTTAATCTATTGTACTATAGTCATGCCTCTAAAAGCTATTTCAATTATTTTGTAATTTAAAGGTCTAAACAATGTAGCAACTTTTAAGGGGAAGACAAGACTGACACTCATTGAGAACCTGCACACTGTAGTATTGTGACATAAGATATATATTATATTTGGTCTCTGCTCCTGGCTCTTAGCATGCAGCTACTAAAACCCTTAGGATCTCCAGGTAAGGGTATCTCTCATATGTTATGACATGATTATGAGATGACTGTGGCTGGGATCCCCTACATAGCTTCAGCATACAGGCTGGTCAGAAAGGCATGATCAATGGTTTAGAAACTTTGGTCCTACCTGCCAGCCCCTGGGGAGGTGAGGGGGCTGAAGGTTGAGTTGATCATTAGTGACCAATGATGTAATAAAACATGGCTAAGTAATGAAGCCTCAACAAAAACTCAAGAGAGCCAAGTTTTAAGAGCTTACAGATAGCTGAACACCTGCAGGTGACTGGAGGGGGTGCTGGGAGAGAGCTCAGAAGCTCTACCTCATTTCTCACATGCCTTGCCTATGCATCTGTTCCCTGGCTGTTCATCTGTATTCTCTGTAACACAGGTGCAGTATTCCTCATTCAAAATGCTTGGGACATAACTCTCTATCATATCAGCCTAGGAACCAATTTTCTCAAAAAGCACAAGAAGTAAAATCAAGAATTAATAAATGGGCTGCTATCAAACTAAAAAGTTTCTACACAACAAAGGAAAAAAATCAAGAACATGAAGAGAGAACCTACAGAATGGGAAAAAATCTTCACCACCTGTACCTCAGATAGAGCATTAATCTCCAGGATATATAAAGAACTCAAAAAATAAAAATAAAAAACACTAGATAGCCTAATCAATAAATGGGCAAAAGAACTGAACAGGCACTTCATAGAAGAAGAAATACAAGAAGTCAACAAATATATGAAAAAATGTTCAACATCTCTAGCAATAGAGAAATGCAAATTAAAACTACACTGAGATTCCATCTTTAGTCAGAATGGCAATTATCAAAAAGTCAAGTAACAATAAATGTTGGCAAGAATGTGAGGGAAAAGGTATACACTATATTGCTGGCGGGACTGAAAATCGTTGCAACCACTAGGGAAAGCAGAATGGAGAGTCCTCAGGAAACTTGGAATGGAACCACCATTTGACTCAGTTATCCCACTCCTCAGCATGTACCCAAAAGATGTAAAATCAACATACTATAGTGACACAGCCACATCAGTGTTTATAACAGCTCAATTCACAATAGCTAAGCTATGGAACCAACCTAGGTGCACTTTAACAGATGAACCGATAAAGAAAATGTGGTACATATCCACAATGGAATATTACTCAGCCATAAAGAAGAATGAAATTCTGTCATTTGTTGGTAAATGGATAAACTGGAGACCATCATGCTAAGTAAAATAAGCTAACCCCCCAAAAATCAAAGGCTGAATATTCTCTCTGATATATGGATGCTGACTCACAATAGGTAGGGGCACAGGAATGGGAGGTTCACCAGACTAGACAATGTCATCCACATCCTGCTGGGGTGACAAAAGTAAGGCCACTCCAGGTGAATTGGGCTGGGAACAAAAAAACCACACAAACATGAAAATATCTTTTTCTCAATTGTGGGGGTCAGGAAGGCTCTGCAACCTCAAAGATCAGCTCCTACGCTGGAAAGAGGGCAAGGGGAGCAAGAGAGGCAAGCAAGAGAGTGAGCACACCTGAACACCCCCCCCTCATTTATTGGAGAAAAGCTATTCATTGAATATTCCACCCAAATAAGGCAAGAGATTGGGTTTCAAAGGGTGGCATCTTGCTTAGCAATGTCTTGTGGTCAGAAGGTTGACTGACATCTTGGAAAGCCACACCCATCTCAGGTGCTGTGTGGGATCACAGGTAAAGGAGAAAAAAGGCACACATGCGACGCACAGCCCAATCAGGCAGCAACATCAGGCCAGTCCCCTCATACCACTCAAATGCACATAGCTCACACACAGAGCCCATGGATAGCTCGCAACAGGACAGGACAGAGTCAGGGGAAGGGAGGGGTATGGGAATGGGAAAGACAAGAGAATGAATCAGACATAACTTTCCTATGTTCATATATAAATACATGACCAGTGTAACTCCACATTATGTATAACCACAAAAAAATTGGAAGCTATACTCCATGTATGTATGTCAAAATACATTCTACTGTCATATAACTAAAAAGAATTTTAAAATTTTTTAAAAAGACAAGTTGCAGATTGGCAGATAATAATTGCATAACAAATATTTCATGAAGAACCTGTACCTATTATCTGTTGCTATAACAAAACCCCTGAGGTTAAATAATGTATAAAGGAATGAGATTTATCTAGTTCATAGTTTTAGAGACTGAAAGTCCAAGATTGGATGGCCCCATATGTTCAACATCTGTGTGGGGCAGATGGCATCACAATAGAAGAAATGCTTTTAGAAAGATCACACAGCAAGAGAGAAAGCCAGAGAGATCTGGGGTCAGGCTCACTCTTTTGAATAACAATCTGACTCTCTGAGGAACTGTGAGATCTGCATTAATCTCTTCCAAGCGTGCTGTCCCCAGTGACCTAAACACCTTCCATAGGTCCCACCTCTTAAAGTCCTGACTATCTCCTTATATCATGATACCGGAGATCAAGTTCCTTCAAAAATACACTCAAATTATATCCAAACCAAAGAATATTCAAAATATATAAAGAACTCTAAAAACTCCATATTAAAAAAATTTAGTTACAAAATGAAAAAAAGATCAGATACCAAAGAGGATATACTGGCAAATAAGCCTATGAAAAGGTCCTCAATGTTAAATATCATTAGGGAATTGCAAATTAAGACACAATACCAATACACACCTATTAAATGGCAAAAAGTCCTGGCTGGTGGGTATCAATTATTTTGTGTGGGGGGATGGCAGTTTCTTAGAAAGCTAAACATAGGCTTACTATACAATCCAGCAATTATACTCCTAGGTTATTTACTCGTATGACTTGAAATCATATGCCCACACAAAAACGTACACACACATATTTATAGTAGCTTTATTCATAATTTCCAATGATTGTAACAACTAAGACATCTTTTAATAGATAAGTGCATGAAAAAACTGTGGTACATAGAATGCAGTATTTTTCAGAAATAAAAAGATATGATCTATCAAGCAATGAAAAGACATGAAGGAACTTTGAATGCATATGCTAAGTGGAAGAAAGGCAGTCCAAAAAGGGTACATACTGTATTACTCCAACTATAACAAAACTATAAATACTCTCTAAAAACAGTGTTTGCCAGGTACTAGAGGGACAGGCAGAATCTTTGAGTATGCAGACCACAGTGCCTCTTTAGGGCAGTGAAACTATTGTTTCTGACTCTGTAAGGTAGATAGATGGCATTATGTAGCACATTCATACATAGTTGGTGGGACTCTTAATTTTGTACCCACTCTGGAAAGCAGTATGGAGATTCTTCAAAAGAATAGGAATAGAACTAACATATGACCCATCTATACCATGCTTTGGTATTTATCCAAAGGAACTAAAATCATGCTGTAGTGATATAGCCATTACAGCATATTATAGTAATAGCAGCACAACTCACAATAGCCAAGTTATGAAACCAGCCTAGACCTGTCAACATATGAATAGATAAAGAAAATGTAGTATATATACAAAATGAAGTTTTATCCAGCCATAAAGAATAAAATTATAGTATTTGCCGGTAAATGGACAGAAGTGGAAACAACTATGATGAATGAAATAAGCTAGACTCAGAAATAAAGGATTGAATATTTTCTCTCATATGCAAAAACAGAGCAAAATAAGGGGTAGGGGGAGATGGGGAATCCCATGAAAACAGAAGGGAGATCAGTGAAGCAGAGGAAAGGGATTGAGGGAAAGGGATGAGGGATGGTGAAGGGAGAAATGGTGGAATGAAATTGAATAAATAATGCTGTGTACATATATGAATATACCAAAGTGAATTTCATTTCATGTATATTTATAAAGGACTACAAAAAAACTATAAGTAAATAGAAGGAAAACCAGTAGAGTACAAAAAGGAGACAAGGGGAAATGGGGAAGGGAAAAAAAGTTAGGTAAAGGAGAAGTATTGGGAAATTAATTGGAGTAAATTGGTCCACACATGTATGATTATGTCAAAATGAATTTCAATATTATAAATAACTATAGTGCACTAATAAAAACATTAAAAAGAGAACTGTATAGAACCATAAATGAAGTCTAATATAAACTATGGACTTTAAATGGTGAATCAATACTGGTTTATCAAATGTCAAAAACATACCATTCTAATGCAATAATATTAATACAACCAGAGAAGTGAAAAATTGTGCTCGATTTGTGTACAATGAATCGAAGACCATTCTTCTGTCTTCAGAATAAAAATAGATAATATTAATATAAGAAATTGGGAGAGGAGAGGAGTAAATGGGAACTCTGTTTTCTGCACAATTTTCTTTCTTTTTTTTTTGCAGTAATGGGTATTGAACTCAGGGGTGCTCTCTACCAGGAGCTGAGATATGATCTCACTAAGTTGCCCATGCTGGCCTTGTTGCTATTCCACCTGTCTCAGCTGGCTCTGCACAATTTTTCTACAAACTAAAAACTGCTCTAAACTATTAAAATATCTAAAAAAAATTTTTAACTATGAACAATCATGCTTTTATTATTAATTACTGGTAAATAAAGTTCTCTTTGGAAGACAGTTTTAAAGATAGCAATATTTACCAACTGAAGAACTATCATCTATAATTTTTAAAAAACTTTTGCATGAGAAATTTCCTAAAAAGTATGTTTACTTCTCTGGTTTACATAAAACAATCTTTTAAATATAATTTGACCTTTTTAATTTGGACTAATACCTATTACTATTCTGTCAGGGATTACTGGGATTGTAAGGCCACTATATGATATACTGATTAGTAATTCTTCACTCTTCTGTTTTTAGCTGCAAATTTTTAGCCCTACAGTTTTTAGCAGTCACTCATGTGGTAATTCCCAAAACTTAAGCTGAAATTCAGGTTTCTAGATAAAATTAGATGACCTGTCTTATTAAAAAACTTTTTATGTTAAACACAATTTTGGATTAAAAGGCCTTTCTATGAAAGTGTCCACTTAATTATTGTAGTATGTGGGCAATAACATGAAAATCAGTAACCATATGTGGTAACTATTTCCTTCTTCGGTCAGAGGGCATTTATTTATCATGTTTTATGGCAGTATTGAGAGAAAAGGAAGTCTGTATTGCCAAGTAAAGGCAGACACTTTCACCTAAATTACATGGGGTATATTTTTAGTATTCCTATTACATAGTCATATATTTTCTTCTTCAAAGGATTCTTTTCATTCTCTAAACTTTCTTGATTTCCTCTTTGCAATTCCAACACCTCCGCATCTTTTTGTCTTACCTCCTGAATTTTAAGGTTCATTTTACGTTTTGTGGTCTTCAGTTCCTCTTCAATAATAGCTGCAGTATCCTAAAAAATAGGAAAAGAGGTTTTAAATAATCTAAAATGACAGGAATGATTTTCTCTATGGATTATCAGTTCAAATCAAGGCATTTCCCTAACATATTAAAAATAAAAACTATCTTTAATATGCTTATAAATATTCCTTATAAGTCTGAAGTAATTATTACATAAGATTTTATTACTTTGATTCACAGTGTCTATCATTTCACCTTTTAGATCATAAATAGTGATTAATCACACCCACCTTTCATATAAAATTCAAGAGAGGACAAGCTGGAAAATAATAGATACTTTTCTTATAGGGGAAATTTTCTAAGAATGATTTAGTCTAGCTTTAAATATTGTTCATGCTTAGGAGTTGAGGATGAAAACCATAGCTTCCATTACTTATTCTCTTCTTTATTATTAATGTTAGTGGCACCACAATCCTAGATGTAAAATCTCAGACTCATTTTTGTCTTCTTTCCTTCCTTATATCTCTATCTAATACCATATTTTACAATATCTTTCTTCACAATGTATCTCTTACTTCTTTCCTTTCAAAATGCCACAACCCCCAGTCAGACTTAATTTTTCTCAAGCCAAATAATGCAATAGATTCCTAATTGGTTTCCCTGCCTCTGATCTCCTTTCTCCATAATCAATACTATATAATACCCCCAAATTAGCTTTTCCTATTTTTCATTGTGATTTCTTAAACCCTTCTCACAGGCTCAGCCCAACTATTGATTATTCTATATGTTGATGATATTATTCTTGATATTCTCTACAATGTGTTCCCTAGCTAATGCCCAACTTATTTCCCACAAATTCTCATCCCTGTGAGGCTAGTTTATATATTTCACCCTAACTGCACCTGGAAGAAAGATGTAGGTTCAAACATGGGCTTCAGGAAGAAGATGAGCATGTGGTAATCTTGGACAAGTGACTTCTCCCTGAGTCCCAATAGTCTTATTGTTAAAAATAAAAATAGGAATAGTAATATCCTACTTCATAAGGCCTTGCAAATAGTATCCTGAATATCTATAATACTGCTTGGTCCTTAGAAAGGAAACAATACTCTGAGTTTCTTTTCCCAGCAGACCCTACTCTTTGCTGTCTCTGTGTGCGTTCTTGGAAATGTTCTTATCCCTCCACTTTGCCTTCTCAAGGTTCAGCTTCAGTCCTAGCTCTTTCCTGAAGCCTACCTAATCTTGATAGATAAGGGATTTCTCACTTCTCAAAAACACTGAATACAAAAGCCTTACTCTGCAATATTCATTTATTGTCTTAGACTGTCTTCTAGCACTTCCTACATTTATTTTTCACTATTTATCATTATATGCCTTGTTCTCCCAACTAGCATACACGCTCTTGAAGAGCACACACTACCTCATACCTCTGGATGCTGTCTATTGTACAGGGTAAGGACACTATTTAAAAAAAAAAAAAATCAGGCTAGGGTGGAGCGTTTATTTTGGCTCAGTGGTTGAATGCTTGCCTAGTACATGTGAGGCACTGGGTTCAATCCCCGGCACCACATAAAAATAAACAAAATAAAGCTATTTAAAACAATGATACCATGTTTTTTTTAAAACAAAACAAAACAAAAAAAACCACTGACAGCACACAGTGATTTTAGTTATCAATGCACGTAAATGTCAAATGCTAAGAATCCTCACATCAACACAAACTATTTGTTTGGAATTGGGGATTGAAGCCAGGGGCACTTTATCATTGGGCTACATCTCCAGCCATTTTTATTTTTCACTGTGAGACAGTTTCTCACTGTTTCTGAGGCTGACCTCAAACTTGTGATCCTCCTGCCTCTGCCTCCAGAGTTGCTGAGATTATAGGAATGCACCGCCATGACTAGAAATAGCTACTACTTTTAAAATCAGTTTTATGGGTCTGCTATTTCCTCCAGCTAATATACAAGAGTGAGTTTATACTTCAGAACTCTGGACTCAAACCTTTGTCTCTGAGGCAACTTCCACAGGAGCAGTCAAACTCTGCACTTCATCTTGTGCCTTGTCTTCTTCCTCTCTTACATCTTTCAGTTGTTGGCGCAAGTTCATCACTTCAAGATGCAACAGCTTCAGGTCCTTGGAATGTTCCTCCTGAATTGTGTTCAATCGATCCTTGAGAAAAGCTACCAGGCAGCACAAGAGGGGCATCAACAGTAGAAAGAAGGTCAGCCAAGGAAAAGAATCATAAACACATCAAGTACCCAGCAGGATCAAATTTCTGATAATTCTCTTCCATATACCTGTTTTCTGTGGGTTCAAATCCTTTTCAGTTTGCATGTGAAAGATATTCATCTTCAAGGATTGAATGAGACTTTCCAGATGGCACATTCGATTTACCAGAAACTCACAGTTCTTCCATAAAAAATCTGTTTTTCCTGAACAAATTACTTCATTCTTGATAGGACCAAAGAGTTTCTGGCTGGAAGGCTCTTCTAAACCCTTTGGAGGTTCCAAATGGCCTCTGGACAAAGATCCAATACAACAATATTATGCAATGTTATTTGTAGTATGTTAATCCCAACCATTGAGTCAATGTAATCTTCCTAATAATTAGAGAGTGACATCAGCATCACAGCAGAATAGGAAGCTCTTAACTCTCCCTCCACCTATGAAGGCACTAAATAAACATCTATACACACATTAATTACTTGTAACAGAAAGTCAGAAATGAGTTGAGAGATTCTTATAAATAAGTCTGAAAAAATATCCACATCAAATGAATAGGAAAAACTGAAGCACAGTTGGGCACAAATGCCACCCTGGGGAACTTCATGCTATAGTCAGGAAGGATTCCCCAACCTAGCTTCTCCCTGATGGGACAGGATTTAGGCTACACTTATAGCACTTTAACTCTAAGGCTCCCCATGATGTGGCTCTTAATTCACCTAGCTCTAAGAGCAGCTGGGATTAAGTATATATATATATATATATATATATATATATATATATATATATATCTCCAGACCACAGAACAAAGTGGAGACATTATATGGGTATGTGCACACTTCCAAGGATTATACATCTTCCAGATATATATATATATATATATATATATATATATCTCCCCCTGGATCACAGAATGAAGCAGAAGCTTTTATGGGCATGCACAAAATTCCACGGCTTAATCCCTCAGGATCAAAGCAAAGAAAGGGACTAAAACTTAAAAACTCCCAGTTTCTCTGTGAAAGGAATATGCTAGAATACTCTGCCACTCTGTACTCTGATTAAAGACTGAAGATAACACAAATAAATGGAAAGATATCCTGGATTCATGATTAGAAGAATTAATATTGTTAAAATATCTACACTATCCAAAGCAATCTACTTAGTCAATGAAATCCCTATTAAAATCCCAATGACATTTTTCACAGAAATAGAAAAAAACCCTTGAGTTCATATGAACAACAAAAGATATATTAGTTATATATATATATATATGTATATATATATATAACTAAATCAATCTTGAGAACAAAGCCGAAGACATCACACTATCTGATTTCAAACTACATAACAAAGTTGCAGGGTACTAGCATAAAAAGACACATCAAATAAGATGGCCCAGAAATAAACCCACACATTTATGGTACGTGGATTTTTGACAAAGGTACCCAGAATACACAATGGCAAAACAGTAATCTTTTTGAAAAAAAAAATGGACTAGGGAAACTAGCTTTCCACACACAGAAAAATGAAATTGGACCCTTGATTCACACCATGTGCAAAAAATTTGATTAAAGACTTCAATATAGACCTGAAACTAAAACTACTAGAAGAAAATACAGGGGAAATCTCTGGTTTTGGTCTTGGCAATGGTTTCTTGGATATGATTCCCACAGCACAGGAAGCCAAAGCAGACAGACAGATGGGTTTGCATCAAACTAAAAAGCTTCTGCACAGCAAAGGAAGCAAAAACATGAAGAAACAGCCCACACTGGAAAAAACATTTGCAAATCATAATCTGATAAGGGCCTAATATACAAAATACATGAAGAACTCAAACAACTCACCAGAAAGAAAATAAATAATTTGGTTAAAAAATGGACAAAGAATGTGAATAGACATTTCTCCAAAGATGACATTCAAATGGCCAATAGGGATATGAAAAAATACTCATCCTTACTTGTCATCAGGTAAATGCAAATTAAAACCAGTGAGATATCATCTCACACTTGTTAGAATGGCTATTATCAAAAAGATGAAAGAAAACTATATTGATGAAGATGTGGAGAAAACTGTCAAAATTGTTAGTGAAATCTATATATTTGTACATCAATTTTCTAAAACAATTCCTCAAAAAAACTAAAAATAGCATTAACATATGATTCAGCAATTCCACTTTGGGTATTTATCCAAAGGAATTGGAATCAGTATGTTGAAAAGCTATCTGAACTCCCAGGTTCGCTGCAGCATTATTCACAATAGCCAAGATATGGAAACAACCTGAGAACCCATCAACAGATGAAGGGATAAAGAAAATATGAAACATACACAGTACAGAATATTATTCAGTCATTAAAAAGGATGAAATTCTATCATTTGTGATGGAATGAATGAATCCTGAGGACATTATGCTAAGTGAAGTTAAGCTAGGTACAGAAGACCATATAATCTCACATCTTAAATTTTAAAAACCCAACTCATAGCAGTGTTGAATAGTGATTATTAGTGGCTGGGGTTGGGGATACAGACAAGGAATAAGGAGATGTTAGTCACAGGGTATAAAGTTTTAATCAGATAGGAGGAATAAATAAGTTGTTTTTGCAATGCTTGGGATTGAATCCAAAGTTCATGCACGCTAGGCAAGTGCTCTATCACTGAACTAAATTTCTAGCCCCTAGGTCTAATTGTTTTTCTTTTTCCTTTTATTTTTTTGTTGTTGAGGGATTAGAGGAACAAGTTCTAATAATCAATTGTACAGCATTGGTGACTATAGTTAATAATTATGTCTTTTCTTTATCAAAATGGATAAAAGAGGGCTGGGGTTGTGGCTCAGTGGTGAGCGCTTGCCCAGCATGTGTGAGGCCCTAGGTTCGATCCTCAGCACCACATAAAAACAAATATATTGTGTCCAACTACAACTAAAAAATAAATATTTTAAAAAATAAACCAACAAAATGTATAAGATTTTAAATCTTCTTACCACAAAGAAATAAGTAGATGAGGTGATAGATGTTAATTAGCTTGATTTAATCATCCCACAATGGATGTATGTATCATAACATCACAGTATACCCCATTTTTGTGAATGCTTATAATATTTTATATTGCCTCAACATAACTTTTAAGCTTAACTTTCTCATACCAGAAGCAGTGCCCAATCACACTTGACAGTTTCCAATATTCTAACACACCTGAATAATTGCTCCAGCTGGTGGCCAGAGAAAAATGCAGAGGTATCTCTTCTGCCTAATGGACTGAGCTCCCTGCTTTCTTAATGCTTCCTTTAAACAGACCATTCATGTATCTGCCCACAAACTTCTCAGTCACAAGATGACCTCCTGGAACTAGTGCCCACTTGCTTTAAATCTACTAAATAAAGATCCCTGCAGGAAGTGTGTTTGGATAACATCTGGCTCCTATAACCAAATGGGTCCACAGGCTCTTTCTTATTAGTTTCTCCAAACTCAAATACAGAGAGCACTATTGGTTAATGAGGATGAAACATAATGTGGGATGAATAAAGATCACTTTTTAGTGCTGCTTTATTTTAATCTGGACTTTTTATAAACTTTTTTGTTACATCAAAACAAGTGATACTTATTAGATAATTCTATAATGGTGAACTAAGAATTAAAGTTTATATTCTATATTGACTTATATATATGTTAATATAAACAGTCACATTTTTAGAAAAATTTTAAACAAAGTCATAATAACATTCCTATTTTCTAACATACTTGACATTGTACCAAATGCTGTTATCTTTTAATGCTGAAGTTATTTATTCAATAGGTATTGTAATACCAACTATATTAATTTGATCTTAATGAGAGAAACTCAGGTGTTTTTCTTTTTAAAGAAATCATACCAACACATTCAATACTGTCTGTGTAGGCACACAGATTTCTTAGACTGTTGATAATTCAACTTTAAAGTCAACAACTTCTTCAGTACTAGGAGAAAAACAATTCAGTTCTTTTGTGAGTACCTAATTCTAAATTATGAAATATTTAAAACCCCTGAAAAAAATGAAGACTAAATTAATGGCATAAAGTAACATTTTATATTTTTTCTTAACTGATTTTAAAATAAAAACTAAAAATGTTTTTAATTACATGAAAAATTACGTTTTGTTTTTAATCATACATTGAAGGAGAAAGGATTAAGTTTTCGTACTTAACACATTTTAAATAACAGTACAGAGGAATGGTGACAGTAGCTCTATCACAGAATAACAACTCTATCTTGCATATATTTTCTAATTAATATTCAAATAGTCATCTCTCACTTCTTTTATAAATATTTCATTGACTATACCACAGTGATTCCCTGTTACTAAGCAGTGAAGCAAAATTCATCATAAAACAGATCTAGTTCATTTTTTTCATTACCTTTTTTCACCATAGTTCAACATAATTAAGTCATCCCTCAAAGAACTGGTCTGTTCTTCTACTATTCTCATCCTTTGCTGAAGGACTGTGAATGTTTCAGAAGCTGTAGAGTTGATGTGGGTTGGAGAGAGGATTGGCCTACATATTGTAGTTTCCATACGCTCCTACGATTAAAGTCACAATGTTAGTGAGGCAGATTCTATTATTTTTCAAAATTGTATACATCCCTCCTATCAGAATATTAATCACTGTCCTGTTGAACTCAAGTGTAGCCATGTATTCTGCTTTGATTAAATGTGGGTAGAAGCTTTAAGAACCAGTTGTTGTTTATCATCTCTTTTCCAACCTCCCAAATAGAGCCTGTTCCATATACCAGGGTCATGTTCCTACATAAGTGGAGTATAACCTGGATAGCAGAAGGAAAAGCTTTTAAACCCCTAGGGCTGGTTCTGCTGCCAAAAACAGTGCTGGAGTTGAAGCCATTGATTGTGTTGGGTAGGGTGAAAAGGTGGGGGCAGGGGGATAACAAGGAAAAGACACCAAATGAGTTTCTCTCCATTTTATTTTCTGTCTCCTACTATTCTGATACTGCTGACCTAGAAATAAACCAGACTTACGGTGGGGAGAAAAAGTAGGGAAAACAGGTTAAGGGGGCTTGTGAGACACAATTGGCTCCTCTGTCCTCTTTCCTAAGGCAGTTGAAAAGTTTACCTGCTCAGCATATCCCTAAAGGTGTCACACCCATGGGATACATCCTGCCTGGCTTTAGACAGAAGTTTGTAAAAGGGCTTTGGGAATACTTTAGTTTTTTTGTTTTAAAAAAAAAAAAAAGGCCAGAAACAATGGCACCTGACCCTTCCTTTTCCTCCTATGATGCCCAGAGCTCTCCTTCAGATCTTCATGCAGTGCCTCACACTTAAATATAAACAAAGAGCGAGGGATCACCAGTATCTGAAACACAAGGAAAAAGCCAGGGTGGCTCAGCTTAACCTGATATTTTTGGCAAAACCAGTAATCTCCAAACTCTGCTCATGTGAGGATAAATAAAATTATTTTTTGTTTTAGTCACTTCTGAAACATGGTAGTCTCAGGCAACAGTTGGTGGGAAAACAAATAAAAGGAAGAGGTCAAGAACAAACAGTGTGGGGTGAAAAAGGACAATTTCTGTGAAACTTGTTAGGCCCAGGTAGCTGGTTCTTATATAAAGAACTGCCCACATTCAGAGGCCAAACATATAATACTAATACAAATATAGCAGAAGTGTACCTTTAGAAAAAGATATAGGGAATGGAATAGAAATTTTCTCCATATAGGATGCAGATTTTCACCTCAAATTTTTTAATGTAATAGTTGAAATGTCTAGTTTTGTTGATATTTCCTTAAGAAAGGTACTTATGATCTGCATAAAATGCTTACATTTATTTATAACGAGTGTAGACACATTCAGCCTTAAAAATAAAACAGAAAACATTTCAAATTCAGCTGTTTCATTTGCTTAAAAACGAGTGTTTACGAGCTGGGGTAGGAGTTTGGCACCCATCTAACCCTGTTCCAGATTAGAGCTTCTCAGGCTTCCAGAGAAGAAAACTACTCTAGAACAAAAAGGAAGAACCAACTTGACCCCCAGCCTCTGTGGGGAAGGTGGTTTAATTACAGGCCTCTAATTTCAGCAACTGGGGAGGCTAAGGCAGGAAGATCACAAGTTCAAGACCAGCCTCAGTAACTCAGCAAAACCCTCAACAACTCAGCAAGACCCAGTCTCAAAATAAAAAATAAAGGGTTGGGGATAAAGCTCAGTTGTGAAGTACCACTGGATTTAGTTCCCAGTATAAAAAAAAGGCGGGAGAGCGGAATTCAGCCTAAGAAAGGCGAGATCAAGATGACCGGAAACTGACTGGCAGTAGGCAGGAGACAAAGCTTTTAAATGAAATAACACAGGGTTGACATTGAAATAGTCTCTAAGTCATTGAGGATCTTCTTCAGGTAGTAAGGAAACTGCTGACTCAGGTAAACAAGTCAATCTAGCTTTTGGGAGATTTATTAAAACAGGGCTCACAGTTAGTTGAAAACCCTTTCTCTCTCATCCCACTTGCCTCACTCCACCAAGAACAAACAAAAAACAGTGTCAAGCAAGGTCAGGAGAGCCCTTGGAAGAAAGACTGGGAACAGTGATTGCTGATAGCTAAAGAAGGACAGCCTTAAAAGTCATTAGGGAGAGTTCCTGAGTATCTGGGAAGCTGTCAAAAGAAGTGCAAAATAAGGACTTATTATCCAATACACTCATCTGTTGAGTCAGATTTTAAAATCACAGAAATCTGCATTTTTACTGCAGTTACTTATCTGGTAAGTCTAAAGAGGAGCACCACAGCAAAAATTCACCCCCCACACAAACACAATCCATTGGCCACTTAATAGATCCTTATAACTGAGTCTAAGAAGTACAGTCTTACAATAAATATTTTAATTATTAATATTCCAGCAATGAAAAAATAGAATTAACAAATTTGTGCTTTGCCCATTTTGAAAAGGAGTAAATATTGAATGTGGCCTTAAACCTAAGTCCTGATGCTTGGCAGTAACAATAAAAATACAAAGATACAAATTTTTATTAAAAAAAATTCATTCACATGAATGAATATTATCAAATGAATCTAGTTCTGTTTCAGTGTTTAGGGAGAGTATTTCCAAAGAGCTTCTAGGCAGTTAACTTCATGGAAAGCATGCCATGAGAAAGACAAATGTCATAGAAATACATTAGTAAAAGCCAGATGACTTTGAAAAGGAAACACCTGTTTCTGTGCATACAAAACCTACACCTAGCAACTGCTACAACCATGTGCTGTTGGTTCCAAAATAACAATAAGTACTCAATATTGTTTATCACAACCACTAGAAAATAGTTCAATGATATTATCTTCATTCACTCATACTTCTATCAACTATTTCCTGAATGTTTAACATGAACCAGACACTGTTATAGGTACTGGGGAATTCAGCAAGTGAACAAAACAGACAGAACTCTGCCCTTGTGGAGTTTATATTCTAATTGGACAAGATAGACTCGAAGTAACATAGTTGTTTGTAGGTGATAAAATACTATAGAGAAAAATAAAGAGAACGGGATACAGGTTGCTGTCCAGATTTCAATTTTAAAGAGTGGTCAAAGAAAGTCCCTCACTGAGATATCTGAGCAAACACCTGTAAAGAAGGTCAGGCAAGAGCTGTATGAATATCTTGAGGACAAAGTCCAGAAAGAGCAAATACTAAGTACGAAAACTCTGTATTAGAATATCTGATGAATCCATAAATGGTAAGGAGATAGTTTTGATCACAGACAAATGAATGAAGGAGAGAATAGTGAGAAATGAGGTCAAAGAGATAATAATAGGAAATCACACAGGGCCTTGAACACCCTTGTAAAGGTTTAGCTTTCGCTCAGCAACTCAGAACCCTGAGATGATTTAGAGCTAAGGATTGTTGTGACCTAATTTACCTTTTAACTCAATCCCCCTGGCTCTTCCACTCACTAAGCGTAGTAGATGGCAAGGGCAAAAAATAGGAGATGCTTCCACCTAGAACCGAGGTGATAACAGTGGAACAGTAAGAAGTGGTCAGACTCCACACATTTTAAAGATTGGTTTTGGTGTTGGAAGTAAACAGCCAAATTTACTGCAAGGTTTTTGGCCTGAGTAATGGGAAGGATGGTATTACCATTGAGACAACAGAAACCTATTAAGAATCCATTTTGGGGTTGGTATTGTGGCTCAGTGGTAGAGCACTTGCCTAGGGTGTGTGAGGCACTGGATTCAGTCTTCAGAAAAAAAAAAAAAAAAAAAAAACTAATTTTGATCAAGTTTGGTGGGGCACACCTGTGATTTCAGTGACTTGGGAGGTTGAGGCAGGAAGATTCCAAGTTTGAGTGTTTACTTAGTAGATCCTAAGCAATTTAGCAAGGCCCTATCTCAAAAATTGCTGGGCTATGGCTCAGTAGTAAAACACCCCTGGGTTCAATCCCCTGTACCAAAAAAAAGAAAAAGGAAAAAAAAAAAGAAAGAAAGAAAAAAGCCATTTTGGGGAAAGACAGAGAGTTGGCTTGGAATTTTTTAAATTAAAAACAGATAAGATGCCCAGTGCATGATTGAATGTCTGGATCTGGAGTTCAGGGGGGAGGTGTGGCCTGAAGACATAAATTTTTAAGTTAATTCTGCATGGTGCATAAAATCATAAGACTGGATAAGAAACAAAGTATTAAAAGACCTGAGCACTCAGAGATAAAACCAGGTACATGATGTACATGTCCAAAACAGATTAATGTGAACATCTCCAAAGCCAGGTTAGATTCTTTATCATTTTTCTGTCTTTAGAGTCTAACACAGTCCTGGGATATTACGGGTGGCAAACAGGAGGGCAATTCAATACAAACATAACGAATGTCTATTATATCCTAGCAGGACTAGGAATTGAACCCAGGGCCTCCCGCATGCCAGGGAAGCACTCTGCCACTGAGATACACCCTCAGCCCTTAAATATTTTTTGAGACAAGTTTTCGTTAAATTGTGGAGGTTGCCCTCAAACTTGGAATCCTCCCGCCTTCTGAGTCGCTGGGATTACAGGCATGCACCAGGGCCCCAGGCCTGACACCTATCTATAGTCTAGTAAGTAGGCCAGGGAGAATAACCAGTGGGGGAAAACAACAACAACAACAAACATTAACATCGAAATGGCCTTCCCAGGAACCTATAACCTCCAACCTAACTCATAAAAAAAGATGGAACTGGGCTTAGCTAGGGGCTTTGGTGGCTAGCCTCCTCCCTCCGCGGAGCCAGGGCAATGCAAATTTAGCTCTTAAAGGACGTTCACAGGCATCGAATGCAGAAATGCCTGAAATCCGGGGAGCGGGGCGGGACTCCGCCTGTGGGGAAAGGTGGTGGTGGCCTTGTCCGAGCCGTCGGTTTCTCCCTCCGGGGCCCGGCAGCCTCACCCCGGAGTCCATCTGCCCGCTGATGGCGGTGTCCTGCTGCAAGCAGGCGGGTTTCCATGGAACTAACACTGCACTTCAAACCAACCCGCTCGCTGGCGGGGTAGCTCCGGTACGCAAGCGCAGGTGTAGCAGGGCATGCTGGGAAGTGCAGTTCTCAAGGCCCAGCAGGGCCCTCCTCCCGGGGCGGGACCCAGGCCGGAATCCCGCGACGCGTGGGGAAACGTGCAGCCTCGTAGCCCGGATGACGACGGGCTCCATTGTGTTCGCGAGCGGGGCTCGCCGGGATATGTAGTTTCCGCTCTCTCCCAGCGGACTTTGCCGGGGGGAATCGGCTGTGTTACACTAATTTCGGCAAATACTCGCCCTGCAGTAGACCCGAGTCCGAGATTAGAAAATGCTTTTAGTTGTAGGAGGACTAAAGTTATCAAGTAAATTCTGAACGATAGAAAAATAATAGATTTTTGTTTACGAGCATTTTAAAAAATGGTTAAAAAAAAACACCCCAAATTTCTTGTTAAAGGAAAAGAATAATTCCCTCTTCGACGTTCGTGATGGTGAGATGGAGAGTAAACCACATAGAGTCTGTTCTCTTGTCTTTTCATTTCTTTGGCCCAACTTATTTCTTGCCTTGACAGGTAAGTGAATAGGTATTTCTAAATCCGCGCGTAAGTAGTTTAAAACGAGAAAGCAATGATAAGACTGCAGACTCTTCTGAGTTTTGCTTTAAAAGCATGTATTTGCGTTCAAAGAAGAGCCTTTTATGATGAAAAGTCAGCACGGCTTTGCATTCGGTCGCTGGACAGAACTCTTTGTTACCACCGCCAGGACAATTATAAGCTCTTCTCTCATCTCCCTGAGAAAACAGCTGAAAATCCCCTGGACCTTCTAATAAATTCAGTCAGATCCGAAATGAGTCCTCCTTTAGTTAGCAGGTGTCTGACTGAATTCATCTGGCTATTCTGATTCTTCTGAGAGCCAAGCCCCATGAGCTGGAGAGACTAACCGAGGAGCCTCAGCTGTTAAGACATAATCATCTTACTGAGTCCATCCAGCGAAAGAAAAATGAGCACCGCGTATGTAATTCAGATGAAGGGACCAAATAAAGCTTTCAATATGGAAAGTAGAAATGTATTTTAAAACGTCAATGCAAAAACAGTTTTGTTTTTTTTTTCAGAATGTATGATTCCTCTTGCAATGACCTCTGATATATCTTTGGAACTAGGAGATGAGGGACACGTGTGTGCACTTTCATAGATAAAACTCAGGCTTCTTTGTGATGAGGATTTCACCTTGTCCTCAGAACTCCGTATTAAGCAGCAGACAGCCAGAATGATTAAATATCGTGTTTTTCATTTCTTTTTCCCTATCACCATCTGGCAAACCATATAAAATCTTAAGTGAAATGATTACAAGTTTGAAAAAAGAATCTGAAGTCTTCAATAAATTAATTCATTCACCAGAGAATCCATCTCTGGATACTTGAGAATTCATTATATACAAAGTCTGATTTTATGTGGGTTGCAGTGGCACACGCCTGTAATCCCAGTTACTCAGGAGATTGAAACAAGAGGATTGCAAGTTGGAGGCTAGCCTGGTCAATTTAGGGAGACCCTGTCTCAAACTTAAAAAAAAAAAAAAAGTTAAGCGTTCCTGTGACTCACTTAGTGGTAGAACCCCTAGGTTTAATCCTAAGTACCATACATCACACAAAAGTCTGATTTTATTTCTTTTAAATGACCAGACATATTGACTCCCCCTACACATACTACCATTTCCCTCTTGATTTCAATTGATAGTTTTCAAACATGTTCTCCTCCTTCCTAAAAGATTATTTCACTCATAAAAACCCTAGAGATTTCATAAGGACCACTTCTTCTTTCACTGAATTACTACAATTGCCTTCTAACTGGTTTTCCTTTCACCCTTTCCAATGCATCCTTTGTATAACTACTAGAATGGTCTTTTAAAAATTATAAATCTGATTATCTTAGCCCTTGCTTACCATTTAATAGTTTCCCTCATTGAACTAATAGTTTTCCATTGAATAAGATGAAGACCAAACTGCTAATAGCTGTGGACTAATTCACCAGCCTCCTCTATATCTACTCCCAGGGGAACCCTAAACTCAAGCCTACTTAGCTAGCATAGTATGTCTTTGAGCTTGCTGGAACTAAACACTCTGCCAGCCTTGCCCTTCCTGGTGTTAGTCAGTGAACTCAAGAGAAACTCAGTCTCTTCTGTGAAGTCATTCTCTTCCCTCCATAAGTACTTTGTAATAGTATATCTTATATTTCCTTCAGTAGACTGTAAACTATTTTAGGACAGAAATTTTGTTATTTTTGTTTTCAATACCAAGTACAGTGCCTGGAACATAGTTGGATATGGTGATGCACACCTATAATCCTAACTACTTGAGAGGCTGAGGGCAGGAGGATCCCAAGTTGGAGGCCCACCTGGACAATTTAGCAAGACCCTGTTTTAAAAGTTAAAAAGGCTGAAAGCACCCCTGAGTTTAATCCCCAGGACTGTGAAAAAAAAAAAAACTAAGAAAATTCTCCTGTTATCTACTCCCTACATAATCTTTTTGTAGGGCAGAAAAACACATCTGCCTTCTTATAGAGCTGCCATTGATTTGACATTGCAGTGATACAAATAGCAGCAAAGTTACCTGCATCCACTTCCCCTTGGAGTTGTAAATGTGGTCTGTGGACAATGAAATGCAAGCATTAAAAAAAAATCAAAGTCTTCATATTTCATTGGTACAATAGGACAATAAGAATGGCAAATTCAGGACTGGAGATATAGCTCAGGAGTGGAACATGAGGCAGGCCCTGGGTTCAATCCCAGCATTGCAAAAAAATAAAAAAAAAAAAGTTTACCAACTAGTTCCTGCTTATGTGGATGATTCAAATCTTTTGGTAAAATATTGGTTCTAGGATTTGAAGGGTTGGGGATTTAGTTCAGTGGCAGAGCACTTGCCTAGCAGGTACAAGGCCCTGAATCTGGTCCTCAGCCCTGGGGGAGGGGGGGAGAGAAGGGAGAAAAATACAAAAAAAAAAAAAAAAGAAACAAGGATTTGGAGAATTTTCTTAGTTATCTACTCCCCATCACAGTGCTGGGATCAAACCAACATGACAAGATTCCATTTCCTCCTGTTATCTATTCTACTCTGACAACAGCAGAGGAAAATTTCAGTATGTAACTAGTAGATGAGAAATATATTAACTCCACACAATGGAATATCATAGATGTATAGAAGAAAATAAGGAAATATAGCTGATGGTATGAAGATGTTTAGTATATCATTCTTAAGATTTTCTGTATATCTAAGATTTTTTTATCATTAAAAGTTGGAAGAGAAAAATCCCTGAATTTGCATGGAAAGTTCTACAAGATATATTTAAGTTGAAAAAGCAACATATTATACAACAAGTAGGATAAGAATTTTGTATTTGCACAAATAAGCACTGGGAGAATTCACGGGGAAACAAAAGTATCTTTTATTACCTGTGTAGGTAGGGTAACCACATGATTTTTCATCCAAATACAAACTTTCTATTATAAGATAATTTTAGATTAACAGAAGAGTTATATTAACAGCACAAGATTCCTGTATACCCTCTCCACAGCTTCCAGCGATGTTAGCATCTTAATATAATCAAGGTACAATTATCAAAACTCAGAATCTAAACAAACTTTTGGGTTTCTCCTATGTGTCCACTAATGTTCTAATATTATTCTCGGGTATGATCCAGGATTCTACATCGTGTTTACTTGTTTTGTACTCTTCTTCAGTCATTTTTTGTCTTTTATACCCTTGGAATTTTTGAAGAGGTCTGATCAGTTATTTTTAAGTTGTCCCTCAACTTTGGTTCATCATGATTTTTCATGATTAGATTGAAGTTATTCATTTGTGAAAGAATGCCACAGGAGTAATGTTGTATCCTTCTCAGAGCATAATATTCCAAGAATCCTTGGTTCCTTTTTATTAAAGAATGGTATTTAGAAGCAAAAAATCTTAATGCTAGGGTATTACTGCTTCTAGTTCCTCTCAGGAAATAGAGATAGAAAATACATATATACACAACCCTAGAATATGCATAAACATCTGTGTTGATTTCTGTATCTCTGTGTGTGTAGATACATAATATTTACACATATCCATGTAAATGTGTTTATACAATTAAACAAAGCATGAGTTCATATTGATACTCCTACTCAAATCCAGCACCATAGAGTTTATTCTAATCTTTGTCCTTAATTTTAACTAACTTCTTTCTCTAACTGTAAGACACCTGGTTCTCATTATCCAGGATATATTTACTAGTTTGTTCAAACTGAAATACATATAAAGTAGTCTTGAAAATTTCTAATCAATACATCAAGCCATCAATAATACCCTGTAACATGTATTTAACTTAAATTTTAAATATTGCTATGAGAAATGGATTTGTAACTAGAGCATATTGCTTGGGTACAGTTCTTTTTGTTCTTACCCTTACAGTATTCAGTCAAAACAGTTTTCCAGAGTTGCTTAGGTCAGCCCCATTTTTCACCACCAGCTTCAGTGTGGCTATTTGATTTATTTGTAATATGGTCAGATTCACTTGGCCCCATCCATATTCTATCTTATATTCTACCCACATTCTGGTTTATTTTATTTAATTTACATATAGGAAAATTCAATTTCTGTGGTATCCAGTGCTATGGGTTTTGACAAATCTATATTCTTATAGCTAGCTACCTTCACAACTGCATACAGAACAGTATTGTTGCTTCCAAAACTCCATCATATTTCTCTTTAGAGTGGACCTCTTCCCCTACCTCCCAACCTGTGGTAATCACTAATACGTTTTCCATACCTAATATTTTTTCTTTTTTTAATATCATATTAATGAAGTTTGAACCTGGCTTATTTCATTTGTTAAGATGCATTTAAGATTTGTTCATGTTGTTGCATGAGTCAAAAGCTTATTTTTGTTATAGAGTAACATTCAACTATATGTATATATACCACAGTTTGTTTAGTCATTCATTAGTTGAAAAACATCTGGGTTGTTTCCAGTTTGGGACAATTGTGAATAAAGCTGCTATAAAAAAAATCTACTTACAGGTTTTTGTATGAAAATAAGTATTTAATTTTTTTTTTGGCCAAATACCTAGGAGTGAGTTTGCTTGATTATATGTAGTATGTGTTTAACTTTGTAAGAAACTATGAAACTGCTTTGGAAAGTGGCTGTACCATCTTGTATATCCATCAACAATGTGTGATAGTACCAGTTGCTCCTTATTTTTATCCCCATTTGATATTTTCAGGTTTTATTTTTCCATCATTTGAATAGATGTGTGATGATATCTTGTGGTTGAATATACATCTCTCCAGTGGCTAAGATGTTTGACATATTTTCATATGCTTTTTTTACATGTGTGTGTATTTCCTTTAACACAGAGTACCTTTTCATTTTTAAAATTGAATGATTTGTTTTCTTCCGGACTATGAGTCTATTTCTAGACTCTTTTGTCAGGTCCATTGATTTATATGTATACCTCTCCATCAGTGCTAGACTGTCTCTGGTAACTATAGCAATTCTTGTATAGTCAGGAAATATAGTATCCATGGGAAATTGGTTCCAGAACCCCCCACAGGTACCAAAATCTGATTCCCAAATCCCTTATATATAAAATGGTGTAATGTTTGCACGTAACCTGCCTAAAACCCCTGCCTAATATACTTTATTTAAATCATCTCTAGAGAGCTTATAATACCTAATGCAATGTAAATGCTATATAAATAGTTAATGTATTGTGTTGTGTTCAGAATAATGACAAGATAAAAGTATGTGCATGATCAGAGGCAAGTTTTTTTCCTTAATATTTTCCATCCCTGGCTCATTGAATCCATAGATGTGGAACCCATGGATACAGAGGGCTGCCTGTATAGTTTTCTGACCTTTTTCTTTTTCATATTTGGTTAGGATATACTAATTTCTTTGCCTTTCCCCAGAAATTTTAGAATCAACTTACTTATACCTATAAATACTCTTCTAGAATCTTGATTGGGATTTCATGAATCTATCCTTCTATTGAATGAGAATTCTTTAAAATTATTTTATTAACTGA